CCGGCAGCAGGTGTGAGCACCAGGCAGGACCACGGTGCATAGGAGCAAAGAATTTTCAGTAACCACCAGAAGCTCGCCCCGATGACAGTGACTGGTCCTCTGCCTTGGTCTGGCGCCCCTACTCACCTGCTCCACCATCCCGCTGTGGCCGACGCCTGCCATGTTTGCACACGTCCCCTGGTGGTCAGTGCACATCATAGTGTCTGGTTGTTCGGTTGTTCAGCTGTTCAGTCTATTTGCATATTAGGGTTTTATATAGATAGATGGGAATGTTTCATCGTTGGCTTGAGTTTAATTTTGATTTGAAGACAACATTAAGAATATATTCTCTTATCCTTTGCAATGTTATGAGTTCACTAAGCTAGGAGATAGTAAATGTTACCAAATAATGGTCAGTGTTAGGTGTCTGTCAGAAATTTTCCCCTTTGGCTTTATTGTGTTGATTTAGGTTTCTCATTTTCTGAAGTAGTCTTGCACTCTTGGGATAAAAACACCTTGGTTAATTATGTGTATTTACTTATTTAAATCTTTATTGTTGAAAGTTTTACATAGGTCCACCTTTCCCCCCCATTAATCTCTTCCAGCCCACTCCCGACCCCCACACCCAGGCTCTCACCACCACATTGTCTGTGTCCATGGGTTCTGCATATGTGCATACAAGTTCCTTGGTTGATCTCTTCCCAACCCCCCTCCCCTGCCTTCCCTCTGAGGTTCACTGTCTGGAGATGACATGGACAAGTCTGTTCATGCTTCTATGTCTCTGGGTCTATTTTTGTTCATCAGTTTATTTGGTTCATTAGATTCCATATATGAGTGAGATCATATGATACTTACCTTTCTCCAACTTGGTTATTTCACTTAGTGTAATGCTCTCCAGGTCCATCCATGATGCTACAAATGATAAGAGTTCTTTTTAATTGCTGTGTAGTATTCCATTGTGTAAATGTTACTACAGTTTTTTTTTCATCTGCTGATAGGCACTTAGGCTGTTTCCAAATCTTAGCAATTGTAAATTGTGCTGCTATGAACATAGGGGTGCATATATCCTTTCTGATTTCTTGGGATATATTCCTAGAAGTGGGATTACTGGGTCAAATGTGAGATCCATTTTTAATTTTTTGAGGAAACTCCATACTGTTTTCCATAGTGGCTGCACCAGTCTGCATTCCCACCAGCAGTGCACGAGGGTTCCCTTTTATCTACAACCTCGCCAACATTTGTCGCTTGTTGATGGTAGCCATTCTGACAGGTGTGAAGTGATATCTCATGTTGTTTTGATTTGATCTCTTGTATAAGTGACTTTGAGCATTTTCTCATGTCTCTTGGCTTTCTGTATGTCTGCCGGGGTCCAACCCCAGCGGGTCCAGGGGTTCCCAAAGGTGTGGACGGAGTCGGCAAAGAAGGAATGACATGGAGGCAGCATTCAGTTGATCAGCATAGCGAGGATCTCCAGCCAGGATCTCCAGCCAAGTTCTGGTCTGGATCTCCAGAGAAGTTCTGCTTAGGATCTCCAGCCAGGTTCTGTGTCCATGTTCTCTTGCTAGGTTCTCCAGCCAGGTTCTGTAGCCAAGTTCCCTCGTTAGGTTCTCCAGCCAGGTTCTGTCCAGGTTCTCCAGCCAGGTTCAGTTACCAGGTTCTAGTCAGGTTCTCTTGCCAATTTCTGTAGTCAGGTTCAGTCCAGGATCTTTTGCCATGTTCTCTCGCTAGGTTCTGTCTCTAGGTTCTGAGGCCAGTTTCTGTCCAGGAACTTTTGCCATGTTCTCCAGCGAAGTTCTTCTGTCTCTAGAGAACGTTCTGTGTAGGTTCTGTCTCTCTTGGTTCCGTATTCTAAGTTCTGTCTTGCTGTCTTATTACATCTATATTTATACCAGTTGATTCAATCCTATCAATCTCTATTACAAAGGTTAGGGCGTTTCTTATCTCCATTCCAGGGAGTAAAGATTATGTAGCTTAAGCATGATTGTTCGTAGTTAAAGTGATTAATTACCCACCTGGCACTAGTTAAGAGGTTTTATTCCCTCCCTAACTTCAGGGGAAAATCCCTACCTGGGGAAACAACCTTTCTCAGAGACCTTGGTTAAAACACATAGTGCCAAGAAGGTGAGCAAACATATTAAGAACAGTATGCCATATATGCCAGGTCCTTTGAAACAGCAAGCATGGACCGGCTCCCGGCATATGTCCACTTTGGAAAAGTGTCTATTTAGGTCTTTTGCCCTTTTTTAATTGGATTGTTTAACTTCCTTTTAAGTTGTATGAGTTCCCTATATATTTTGGAGATTAACCTCTTATTGGATGTATCATTGGCAAATATGTTCTCCCATGCAGTGGGTTAATTGTGTTTATTTTAATATGTCTGGGATTGATTTGCTCTTAATTTATAAATTCCTGGATCTGTGCTCTGAGAATTGGTTTGTTTTTTCTCATAATACCTTTGTCAAGGTGATGCTAGTTTGGTAAATATGGGTAATTTCAGTTTTTCAAAGCTCATTAGGACTGAACATGGTCATGAGAAGGTGGCAGGAGAGGTGGCTGTGCTGCTTGGCCTTTTCATCTAGGCACTGGGTGAGGGTCTAGACCAGCCTTTTCAACCAGGGTTCTTCATGGGAACCACAGAAAGGAATCTGAGTAATTTTTTCCAATTCTCTCAAGGATAGTACGTAACTAGTGTCCTTTTATATACATAGAAATTGATTACATACAGTGGGTACTGTGTTAGTTTCCTATTGCTGCTATAACAAATTATAATTACCACAAACCCAGCAGCTTAAAACAATACAAATTTATTCTCTTATACTTCTGGAGATCAGGAATCCAAAATCAGTTTTACTGGGCTAAAAGTCAAGGTGCCAGCGAGGCTGGTTCCTTTTGGAGGCTTGGTAGGGGGTGGGGGTAGGGAGGGAATTGGGGTCCTTCAGTCTGTGGCAGAGCTCTATCCACTGAGCCACACCGGCTGGGCTCTGCCTCCTTATTAGGACACTAGTGACTACATTTAGGTTTACCAGGGTAACCCCATCTCAAGATCCTTAGCTTTAATCACCTCTGCAAAGCCCCTTTGGCTACATAATATTCACAGGTTCCATGGATTAAGACCTTGGTATCTTCAGAGGCCATTACTCAACCTACTATAGGTATGTTAGGACCTTGGAGCTCTTTATTTCCTCCATTTTTAAAAATTTGTTGGGATTACATTGATCAATAAAATTATATAGGTTTCAATTACATAATTATGTAAGTGTACAATTCTATAACACATCACCTGCATATTGTATTCTGTGTTCACCACCCAAAGTCTAATCTCCTTCTGTCACCATTTGTTCCCCCTTTAAGGACCTTCGAGCTTAATTCTCTTCTATACTTGGGTTGAGAAAGGCTGTCTAGACCAGTGATGGCAAACCTATGACACACGTGTCAGAGGTGACACGTGAACTCATTTTTTTGGTTGATTTTTCTTTGTTAAATGGCATTTAAATATATAAAATAAATCAAAAATATAAATCTTTGTTTTACTATGGTTGCAAATACCAAAAAATTTCTATATGTGACACGGCACCAGAGTTAAGTTAGGGTTTTTCAAAATGCTGACACGCCGAGCTCAAAAGGTTCGCCATCACTGGTCTAGACCATCTCCTCATTGTCTGCAGATGACACAGAACCATGCCACATGACAGGCTCCGAAGGATCAAACTCCACAGTCTAACTCAAAAGCATGTGGCTTGGTAGCACTCTGTATGTATGCAATGCTTGTGAGAGGCTTCAAGATGTCAGTTGGCAATTCCGAGGGAAAGTGTGATTGGGCTTTTATTAGAAATGACATCTGGAGTGAAATGAGGGGCCTGCTCCTCCAGATGTGGCAGGACCCCACTGGAGCAGGTCCCGACTTTGTGACCGAGCCTTGCTGTCTCCACCCTGTAGTGCACACCTGGAGAGCAGCCAGCTGATGGCGAGGCTGAGGACACACAGGGAGGGTTAAAGACTTGTGATGGCAGGGAGGCCTTGCTCTGTCAGCGTTTCCAAGGGTGGATGTGCACAGTGGGGGACTTCCTCTCTAGAGAGCCCGCGGCTGGATGTGTGGGGAGGGAAGATGGGACAGTGACTACAAGATTACTTACGGTTCCGTGAAACCCTGAAGCCCCATTCAACTTTGTAAAATTTTAGCTGGGAAAACTGAGGCCCAGAGGAAGGTCACTTGGCTGGATTTATAGAGTGAATGGAGCCAGACATTAAAATCTCATCATTTATGGTCATTGTCAGGTGTTAACAGTCACTGATAACTCAGTTTTATAAAAGACTTTTTAAAAATTGATTTTTAGACACCTTCCTGGTGTGGTTGAGTGGTTAGACTCTTCAGCACCTGCAATGAAGTCACGGGTTGGATTCCTAGTCAAGAGCATGTACCTGGGTTGCAAGTTCAATCTCCAGCCCCATTTAGGGCAAATGCAGGAGGCAACCAATCAATGTGTCTCTCTCACATCAATGTTTCTCGCTCTTCCCTCCCTCTCTCCCACTCTAAAAATCAATGGAAAAAATATCCTTGGATGAGGATAAACAAAAAATAAAGTTATTTTTAGAGAGAGAAGAAAGTAGGGGAGAGACATCAATGTGAGAACAAGACATCAATCAGCTGCCTCCCTTATGCCCCCCACTGGGAGCCCGAAACCCAGGCATATGCCCCGTCTGGGAATCAGTGCATATGATGTCGTCCAACCAACTGGGCCACACTGGCCAGAGTGATAACTCGGCTTTTAAAAACCGTATCTCAGCAAATAAATTTAGTGATAACATTTAACACACATAACTTTAAAATGCAAAGACCTAAATCTTGAAGGCAGTGAGGACCCACTCTCAATGGTGCTGTGAGAAGTGAAAGGTAGTAGCAGGTCAGGCCAGGGAATCACACGGACGCTGGGAAGGGAGGGGAAACCGAGTCTAACTGCTGTGCTGAGCCCTGTGGGCCTGTCAGGCTGCCCGAGGGGATGAAGTTCAGGAATCAGTCCAAATTTCATGTGAAACAACTTTAATCATTTTAGAACCTCTCAGACATTCAAAATCCTAGACACAGAGCTCCTTTTAAAGAATATATTTGCTTACTGACTCAGCTGATACCAGAAACAAGCAGTTGCCTAAGGACCTGTATTTCCAAGGCAGCTAAATCTCGAGTCTTCTCAGTGAACATAGGATTCCAGGGAGCTAATATTGCACTTCACAATCTCTGAGCACTGGTCGATGTTCTTCTTAATCCTGTAGAATTTCTCCACATACTCGGATCGCCCCAAGAGCTCCACAAAATCTTCGTCATGAGTGATTACCAGAAGCTGGAAGTTACGTTGCTGTGAGCGACTCTTTATTATCCTGAAACAACAGATTTAGAACATTTTGTTACTAAAGAACATATATAACCCTTTCTTTCCTTTATTTGAAAAAGCTATTGAGAACCTTGTTTGACATATGGCTGAGTGGCAGGGCCGCTGCCAGCCCTGCAGGAAGTGGGGGTGGGGTGGGGTGGACCCGGGCCTCTGTCAAGTAGGAGCCCACCTCCTCTCCAGGCAGTGGGGGTGCATGTCTTGACTCTTCACGTAGGTCTGGCTTACGAACTGGTAAGAATACGTGATCTAGTTTCTTCCAGAACACAAAGTTCTTACCACAGCAGCTGGAAATGCTCTAAAGTTTTCCTTAATATCTATGCTGCTCAACTTTAGGAGTCTGACTTATTCCTTTGCCTTGGGTTTTCTTGACCTCTGACTAGTTTTCTCTGGAAGAAAATACTTTTTCTTTTTGAAAAGACAGACTACAGGCAAGGGGAATAACGTGTGCAAGCCCTGCTGCCTTCTCAGGAGCTGTGTCTACTTAGAATTCTGCCCGCCTAGTCACTATATGCATCATGAGCATGACACACGGCCTGAGTGGGTGGACTGAGACACGGTGCTCGTTATCTATACGCTGAGGTTACGAGGCTGAGACCTGAGGCCTGAAAGACCTTTTCCTTATATCAACCACTTACATATCCCTTGCCCGGAGCTGGATGTACTTAGGTTCAAAAGCACTAGCCCTTACTTGCTGGTCACGCAGGTATCCTGGGAGGTGGCTCCGGGGTTGCTCAATTCTCCCTCTGGCTGTCAGACAGGAAACATGTCTGCCAGGGGTCTCCCACAGGTGACTGTGCTGCAAGGTGTGTGCAACTTTACCTTCCTGGATTCCACTTAACCACTAATCTACTTTTGAATAAGAACTGTCACTCCTCATAGAGTCTGACGCATGTGGAAAGCTGGGGAGACAGTCCAAAACCACCGTGACCACCCAGAATGTTTTACAAGTCATGGTAACTCCTGTACACAACATGTGGGCCCCTCTGGTGGGTTTACAGGAAAGCCAAACCAAACCAGCAAACTCACCACAGTTTCCCCATGAACACAGGGGGAGGTGCAGGGTGTGTGCTGCTGGTGGTCACCATTTAGTTCATTTTTAAAAATCTGATAAATTACTATCAAAAGGTAAAGCCAACCAGCTTCCCCGAGGAAGACACATCTAAAGGCGTTTCACCATGGAGCTCTCTTAATCTTACTTTAAACTTGAGAAACTTACTCAACCAGCGAATGTGCAAGAGATTCAATGTTTTCTCGGTCAAGATTCGTTGTTGGCTCATCCAAGGCAAGGATGCCGCAGTTCAAACAGAAGGTTTCAGCCAGGGCCAAGCGGATAATGAGGGAGGCTAACACCTGGAAAAAGCACCAAAGCTGAGCTGCCGCACAGACCATTTTCTCATCCACCTGGGAGAGTGTGCAGACCTGGCTGGGTCTCTACACGGGGAAGGTCACAGGGCCACTGGCCTGAGGAAAATCGCTGCTCTTCTGCTTGGGAGAGCCCGGCACTGTGACCAGACGTGCTCTACCAGAAAGTGAGCCATCACGTGCACGACCTCAGCGTATCATGTGCAATGAAATAAAATGCTAAGAGCAATGCTGACCCCCTGCCCCAATCACATCAGCTATAACAAAACTTGAATTCACAGACGTGAATCAGAAATGCATTGCCATTTAGTATTAACTAATAATTTTAATAACTGGTATAAGATTAACAACCTTAAAATTCACAACCTATTTTATTTTCCTGATAGAGATTTATCAGGAAACCTGGACACATTACATTTCCCAGAGCCTCAGAGACCTTTTATCTCTTCCTTACATCTCTCTGTTCTGTGGTCTAAAAGAGGCACCTAACCTACAAATGCTCTCACCCACACAAATATGTTCGTGCATTGTGAGACAGAATGAATGAATTCCTGGGCCAAAATACCAGGAGTACAGAAATACAGCGTTATTTAAGCTTAACCTGTAGGAAATCCAAACAACCCAAACTGAGGCACTTCCATGGCTAACAGACACCTAACAGAAACCCCTCAGGCCCTGCTGAAACCATCTGAGGGTACAGGCACACCAATAAGAGTGCAGGCGCTTCAGGAAGTCTAACCACCTGTGTGTGAGCTGGAAGTCCCCCTCCCCTCGAACATGTGAGTGAAGGAGAGTCAGTGAGTTCGTGATTCTAGAGCAGCTGACAGTCTCTCTTTGATGGAGCGCTTGGTCCTTTGGACAGACACTTCTTCCTCTGTGTCTGAACCCCCTGCTGCCACCTCCCCCACCACTCCTCGGAGTGGAGTCTACTGAGGTCCTGGCCCACCTCTACCAAACCATTCCTCTGTCTTCTCCCCCAATCACTACAAATGAATTTATAGTAGTTACCGGAAATCTACTTTTATTCAGAAACTATTTTTGAAAGTATTTTTAATCCAAAGAGACATGTTTTAAACTATATTTTCCCATTCATAACTACCACTACAAATCACCAAAGCAAGTAGGGGATACTGATTATAGATCACAAATTTGTCATTTTTTGCAGACTACGATTATGATAATCTGCAGATGCCTTAAACTAGTATAGTTGTCTGGGCTGACAACAAAATACATACATGCATGGAGTGTCTTTAGGTCAAAATTTAAAACTACAAAAATAACTTGGGTAACATGAGCATCTATTTCTAGAATTTTAAAAATTTGTTAAGAAAACCAAGGGTAAAGAGATGTCATCAATATAATCTCTCTTTTTTTAAAAAAATATATTTTATTGATTTTTTACAGAGAGGAAGGGAGAGGGATAGAGAGTTAGAAACATCGATCAGCTGCCTCCTGCACATCTCCTATTGGGGATGTGCCCGCAACCCAGGTACATGCCCTTGACCGGAATCGAACCTGGGACCTTTCAGTCCGCAGGCCGACGCTCTATCCACTGAGCCAAACCGGTTTCGGCGTCAATATAATCTCTTGCTTCTAATCTGAAAGGAGGAAATCTGTGGCATCTTGGGTACCAGCCTGTGCACAGGGAAGACCCTGCCTGTTCCCCAGGATGCAGGCCCCACTGTCCTCACTGTAAATCACCTTCCCTCTGATTTGCTCTGTGCTCCATACCCCACCAAGGCTGTCTTCCCAGAGCCTCACGTAGCAGCACCAGGTGCCCTGCCCAGCAGCTGAGTGTGTGTGTGTGTGTGTGTGTGTGTGTGTGTGTGTGTGTGTGTGGTGGGGGGGGGGGGTCTGCAGGCCCCAAGGCTAGGCTGGGTGGTGTTGGGGGACTCAGACCTATAAGGGGGCTGCTTTCTCAGAGAGAGGCTCATCTATTATAACACCTCATCTGGCTCAACCTAGGATCTAGTTTGCTAATACTGCCTGTCACTGACTAAAACACACCTCCCTCTCCCACTTGACTTCTCTCAAATCAGGATGCATCTTATAATTACAACTGCCTTTTTTCTTTCTTAGTGGCACATAAAATGGTGTGTCTTGCAATCAATGACACAGTAACTTATTCTCCTAAGGAAGGCTGTAGAAGAATGAATGGTCTTCAGCTCCTTGTTTTATATTGAGCCTATCCTGTGAGAATGGTTCAGGCCCTTCTCCTAAAAGCCCAATTTATGTGATGCTGCAGGAAATGCCGGTTAGAAGTGGGGGAGTGTATGAGGGCAGCAGATCCGACCCTGAATGTGGCAGCCAGGAGCATGGTAGGAGCTTCCACCATTCCCGGGCGGCCTTGGAGGCTTCCACCTCACTGACATTTGTTTCTCTCTGTCGAGTCTCTGGGTGAAGGTGGCCCCTAGGTTCTGAGTACCTGCCTTTTGTCCAGCACTGCATCGTCCTCGCATATCCAAGGCCGTGTCACCCTTTAGCATCACCACGCGGTAGTTATAATTCCGCCGTTTATCAGAAGCTGATACGTTTTCATCGGCATCAGACCGAATTTCTATATATTCAATATCTGACACAGAAGGGAGAAGATTTCAGAGGAACCTACACTCTGTACCCTTTGTCATTTGCCAGCATTATCAAATAAGCCCAGGAGTACCATGTGAGGGCAGACACCACAGGGGAAACCCTGGCTTGTCTGGAACCTTTCCTCTGGCTGAGAGTGTTCCCGTGGATTCCTGGCTAGAAGCAACCCAGAGACCCCAACCCCCTCTCAGCGCTGCCTTTCTTAGTTCTACTCTACTAAGAGTTTCCTCCTGACGGTTTCTTCTTATCACATTTCGGCTTATCCCTATCGACACTCAACAGAATCTATTATGTCATCAGCTAAATATAATGTGCATCGTAGCCAAATATGTAAGGCCTACCAGGCTCTGGAATAGAAACCTCTGCACTTCTTCTTGCTATAAGATGTTGTCAAGATAAGAATTCTTAGAACACATCAGAGAGATGCTCAGCAAGGGCCCGGGAGGGGACGCGGCACAATGAGAAGTCGCGCGGTGGGAGCGGGGACAGGGCTTTGGGAGGAGCTGGTGACACCTCGCGATACCTTGTCCACGATAGGTGCTGCGCCAGAGGTCACGGATGATCTTATTGATTTCTTCCATTTTCATACTGTGGAATTTCATTATTGCTCTGGAAAAAAAGCCAGTGGTACTTTTAATAGAATAATAATATGGTAACGTATTATTACATGTAACAGTAACATTAAAGTGTGAAATATATAATAATGTGTATAATAATGATGTAAGTAACATCATAACAATATCATGAAGTAACTTCCCTGGATATTTCAGTGATAAAAGTAGGATATAGTAAGAGCTAGAAAAAATAATCAGGACCAAGATCTTGCTGCTTGGCTAATAATGAGTAGTGCCGTCATATTTCCAGAGCTCCAGGGTCCCTACCTTCTCCATTTTCACTCTGTATGATATGACAAACACTCCCTTAAATACAACCACAAATGCTGTGAACATTTCAGAAAACAGTTTTTTAGTAGACTCTTTCTTAGGCTTATTGGAAGGACTGTTTCCACTGATGGCCACCAGTTACAGGAAGACCTGCTGAATGGAAGAGAGTCAAGAGGGGAGGGAGGTGTACAGGGTCCCTTGCTCTATGGGGAAATAGGCAAATCTCTGCAAATGCTGTTGTTTTCCTCTTTAATTACTAATAAGGTTTACCAAGAGTCAGTCTCTTGGGCTGCTTTTATTCCTCAGATCCGTGAGCTTTTTATCTATTAGAAGCTTTGGTACAGAAAGGGCCATTTAGAGACTTAAACTGAGCTGAACCTCAAAACTTTTATTCTCCCTTCCTAGCCAAAGATTCAGAAATCCTACTAATAGGTACACCCCTTCCGTCCCCTCTCAACACTCTTAAAAAACTAGGAGTTTCTGAACACTAAAGGGAAGAAATGTTTGTAAAAACAGAAGTAGCCTTCAAAATCTAATGTTGTTCTTACTATTGTCACCTTTCACCAAAAAGCGCTAGGTTCTGTGGAGGCCTATGAACTGTAAGCGCTGCCCCAGTGACACACAGGCAGACTTCGCTGCCACCGCCACACAGAGGATGTGAGGCGCCTCACTTCCATTTGCAGCCTCTTATCTGATACACACAAAAAGAAACTGAACGTAATGCTTCTGCCTCTTCATAATCACTTCATGATCTTCTGGTTCACTAGCCAAAGAGAAAGAAATGACTCAACACAAATACATTTTAAGTATCAGATGAAGGATTTTGAAGTAATTGACTGGAAAAAACCATATTCTGCTTGATGATGAGAATGCAAGTCTCCATATTCTACTTTATACATCTGTCTCAGGCTAACATTTTATACTCCTTTAAAAGGATGGAGACAGCCCTGGTCAGTGTGGCTAGGTGGTTAGAGTATTGGCCCATGCGCCAAAGGGTCTTGGGTTTGATTTCTGGTCAAGGGCACGTATCTGGGTTGCAGGTTTGATCCCTGGCCCCAACTGTGGGTGTGTGTGGGAGGCAACCAATTGATGTCTCTCTCTCACATCGATGTTTCTCTCTCTCCCTCCCCCTATCCCCTTCCTCCCTTCCACTCTCTAAAAATCAATAGAAAAAAATATCCTTGGGGTGAGGATTAACAAAAAAATAAGACAAAGGATGGAGACAAAATGTCTAAATATTTGCTATAAAATACACACACACGCACTCTCAGAGAATGTTCTTGAGATCAATCATGTAATCCATAGTTTTTTGTTTTTTAATTAATCCTCACCTGAGGATATGTGTGTGTGTTTTTTAATTGATTTTAGAGAGAAAGGGAGAGGGAGAGAAACATCAATGTGACAGACATTGATTGGCTGCCTCACGAATGCACCCAGACTGGGGATTGAACCCGCAACCTAGGTATGTGCACTGGCCTGGAATCAAACCCACAACTTATTTGGTGTATGGAACAAGGCCCAACCTGCTGAACCACCTGGCCCAGGTTGTAAGCCATAGTTTTATATATTACTATCCTGACTTTTCAAATGACTTTTTAAAAAAGTCATCTTTCCATTCAAGTTAAAAATCTTCCATAATAAACATTCCCAAAGTAGAGCACAAGCTCCAGCTGAGGCAGGGGGTGATGGTGCCCCATGTGCAGCCGCGGAGGTGCATCTGCCCATGGGTAGTGTGCTGGAGAGAGCACTGCGAGAAAGACCTACTCACCCCAGGGCTGTGCCAGACACAGCTGAGGCTACTTGGCTGTATCCCTTCTGTCTAGTCTTGAGTTTAACCCCACTTGAGGGAATAACAATAATAATAGTGGTTACTACTGAGGAGCATTAACTTATGGAAGGCACAAATATGCTTAAACAATCATATTATTTCATTTAATCCTTATAATACTGGGAGAGTTAGGTTTGGTTATCCCCATTTTCCTATTAAGAAGATGAAGTCAGTAACTTCATCATAATCAGAGAAAAGTGGGTAGACTATTAACAGCCCTTAAATATGATAATTAAAAATTTTAAAAGGCAGTCAAAATGCCATCCTTAAAGCCACCAAGCTCAGCTAGTTTTATGTTCTAATGTTCTCCATTCTTCAAGGTACATTGGTACGCTTAAAACTCTTAAGTATATGAAATATTACATAGCAAAAAGAAATATAAGTAGAGCCTGGCCTGTGTTGCTCAGTGGTTGAGTGTTGACCCATGAACTAGGATTCCTGGTTCAATTCCTGGTCAGGGCACATGCCCAGGTTGTGGGCTCAATCCCCAGTAGGGGGTGTGCAGGAGGCAGCTGATCAATGTTTTTTCTCTCATCATTGATGTTTCTATTCTCTCTCCCTTCCTTTCTGCAATCAATAAAAACATTTTTTAAAAAAGAAATACAAGTAGAAAGAGGAAAAAAATGTATAAGCCTATATAAGATCATTTAGTAGTGAGGTATTAAAAAGAATATATCAGGACCAAGTAGTATTTATCCCAAGAATAGTACAACAGAAAAAAAAATTGATTCATTGTATTAATGAATTATAAGGAAAAAAATCATCTCAATAGATGTCCAAAAAGTACTTGTTATAACACTGAGTTTTGATAAAAATCCTCAGTAAAAAATAGAAAATTTTCTTAATTTGACAAAATGACTTGATCAGATATCCACAGCAGCATTCAATTAATGTTGAAATATACAGAAGTGTTACTGCTAAAAACTGTATCAAGAAAAAGATGCCTCTTATTATGGCTACCCTAAAATAATACCCTAGAGATATCCCTGACAATGAAGAGGAAGCAGCAGCCCAAAACATGTCACTGTTTCTGCAAATGATATAACTGTGCACTCAGAAAATCTAAGAAATCAACTGTAAAGCTATTAAGACTAATACAGTGGTCAGAAATAAAATTAATAGTTTTATGATCTAGTAGCAAAATCCAATAGAAAACAATAGGAAAAAAGGACCCTAATCACAGTGGCAATTAAAATTATGAAATAAATACCTAGGAAAAAATCTAACAAAAAGGTAAATGCTCTAAACGGAAAGCTATAGAACTTTACAACAGGACAAAGGAACTGACTAAATAGAAGAGACATACTATAGAGTCCAAAATGGGAGATTCAATACTGCAAAGATGTCTCCTCTCCTCAGTAATCCATAAAGCAAATGCAATCCAAACACAACTCCCAAAAGATTAAAACATTTTAAAAATTAAATCCATAAGGTGACTCTAAAGTTCTTATTTCAAAAGAATAATGCAAAATAATAAATCACAGTAGGACAGGAAAAGAAATGAAATAAAACCAAATACTTGCAGAACTTTAGTTTTACAAATGACATTTTAAATCAGTAGGAAAGCTTTCAGTAGTGTTGGAGAAAGGAAAAACTGAAACTTATATCACTGCCCTTTAACAAACCTCAAATATAATTCTTCTGAAAACATTTTTATAATTTTAAGATTGGGGAGGCCCTTCTAATCCAGAAGCCATAAAGAAAGACTAAAGATTTGCCTACCTAGAAATTAAAAGTCACAAACAATACTGTAAAGTTAAAGGACAATGACAAACTAGGAATAACTAATTTGCAATGTATGTGAAAAGGATTAATATCCAGAATATATATTTAAAAAGTGGTACAAATCATTGAGAAAAAGACAACCTAATAGAAAAACTGGTAAAAAGATATGAATAGGCAATTCTTGGAGAAGAAATACAAATAGCCAACATATGTAAAAAGTGTTTAACCTCACTAATAAATAGGGAAATGTAAATTAAAGTGAGCTTTTTTTGTGTGTGTGTGTAACAGACTGGCAAAAATTAGAAAGGGTAATGATATGAAGACATAGAGAAATGTGTACTTTCATACACTTTTGGTGAATACAAATTTTGTAAATGTGTTTGGAAGGCAATCTGGCAATAACAACTTAAAAATGTAGATACCCTCTGACCCATTAACTCTGTTTCTAAGAAGTTATCTTCCTAGTGTATCTATACAAGTGTGCAAAGACATGCATTGTAGCACTATCTGTAGTAGCAATTATTTAAAAACTTCCTAATATGTCCATCTGTGGTTAAATAAAGTAGGCAACATCCATTTTATAGAATAGTATGCAGCCATTATAAATGAAGTACTTACATATATGAACATAAAAGATTTTCATTACATGTTAAGTGAAAGAAAAAGCCAACAGAAAAAGCCAATAGTGTGATACTATTCACATAAAAACAAAAAAGATCTATTTGTATAAACATACTTAGAAAAGCACTGTGAGAGAAATAAAAACATGTCACCAATGTACTAATACTTAAGTGCTGAATAAATGTTAGACATTGTCATGGAAATAAACCTAAGTCTAATGTGAACCATGTTCTGTGATTTGGATAGTAATGGAGTGAGTACCGGGAAGCATAAATATCTATAATATAAGGCTGAATGGTTTAACTCATATAAGTTGTACAAAATATTATGGAATACACAGGAAGGAAAAATTATATCTGCTTGGGAAGGGCTTCATCAAGATAACGTTCCAAGGAAGAGAAATAGCATGGGAAAATCTGAGGTGTCCTAAGGAATGTTCAGTTTGCTTAGATCACAGTGAGTATTGAGAGATGAAATGGGAAAGGCCAGGTGTGGAAGTCTGTCCTAAAATTAGCAGGGAATAGAGACAACTATCTTTAGGAAAATTAGCC